GAGAGAGAGAGAGAGAGAGAGAGAGAGGGGGAGAGAGAGAGAGAGAGAGAGAGAGAGAGAGAGAGAGCGAGAGAGAGAGAGAGAGAGAGAGAGAGAGAGAGAGAGAAAGCCCTCAAATCTGGTCACGGCACGATCGCCATCTTGGACAAGCTGAGCAGCTTCAGTGCTAATTAGTGATACTTGCTAAACTAGTCAGAAATCTTCCAGAACGGGGCAGAGAGGGAAATATTCCGATACATTTGAATTCATTCGGGTGGAACACGGAAGTGTCTCCACAGTCATGTATTGAATGGGCCATTCAATGTAAGTTCTAACAACAGCCGTTGGATGGCGCCATAACCAAGCAAACATCAGAACAACAAGGAAGGAGCTCAGCCCATCTGATCAGAATTGTGGATTGTATGCCAACATTCTCCATAGAAAACTCAAGATAGATACATATGCAACACAATATTTTCTATATTTTACTTTAATTTAACAAAAGGAAAAATAATACAAGAACAACACAAGCATAAATAAACATGAAAAGATAATAATAATCATAATAATACTTTAAAAATATTTTGTTCTGGGCTTATTAGAGGGTATGATGGATGAGCTTGCTTGTGCAGAGCTTGTTAGTTAGATTGACAGTGGCTGGGGGAGGCAACAACTTAAATGTCGTGTTAAACAGGAAAGCTGCTGTTTTAGCGTAAACCATTAAAACAATGACAAAGCCTGTTAATAAAAATCAAATAATCGTCTGAATACTTTTTTTCCCCCGTGGGTTACATCCACCTCAGATAAGACAAAAAAAAAACACTCAAATTGAATTGTTCAAAATGCATGTTAGTCTACTACTTGAGCCTGCGTTTGTGGAAACATGTATTAAGTAAATATGAAACTTGATTAGGTGTGTGATGGAAATTATGTTCCAAACATATGTTTAAGGGTTGGTTTAATAATCAATATTAGTTATTGCCAAGCCACAGTCAGGACATGTTGTAATTTCCTCCTTGGAATTTATTTAACAAAGAAGAATACTCAGTCTTGCACATGTTATCTTGTGCCTCGGCACTCCAAATGCAGAATGTTCACCAGATGCTAGATTGCAGCATTCTCTCGTTAATCCAGGAAGGCGGATATTGCATTTTCACGAATAAGCAAAACAACAAAACAAAACAAAAAAAAAAAAACTGAAGAGACATTCAGCTCCATTAACCTATTTACTTTTCTGTTGAGCAGCATATGCCCTCTCCTCGGCCCGAGCCGTAGATGGGGGACACGCACACACGGCTGCTCGGTGCGACATTTATGAGTTGCGTTGAGTGCGAGGACGGCGGCAGGTATGTGGAATAGGAGTCATAAGTGCCCCTTTTCTCAAAGTTGAGCCAGAATCCTCTCAGGCCCTGCTGCTGGGCCTTCCATTCTACCTGCACCTCGTCATGGGTCGCAGAGGTCAACTGAAGGTCAGCGAGGGCAGGCAAAGTCGCCGCTGTTGGTTAAAAAGAAGATACAAAGCAGGATAAATGAACTCGGAATGTGCCCTAGACCACATTTTTCTTGATCCATATATCCATGTGTTTCCTGTGTAATTCCATTGTCAACCACTAGATGACGGCTCAATTTTTAATTTGACATGCTGCAAAATTGAAAGAAAAAGAAAAATAACCAGGAAGTTTTTGCAGAAGATTATATTTAACGTCACATCCTCTTTAATTTTTTTTCCGCCCACTGAAGGTGACGGATGTTGGTTCATCCCTTCATGTACATCTCCCATCATTAATATTATAACTGGTATTGTAATGATGAAGCTTTTCTGGTGATGGATCTTAATAGTTTTTTGTTTTCATGTGAAAACACCTCTGCAGTGAATACCATACAAAGCTTCTCTTCTTGCAATAAACAGCCATATGCCAAAGGACGAACATAAAGTGCTGGATGGCCTCTATTGCTGTCCTTCATTTACTGGGTTGTCCTCCTCTACTTTGTTGACTTGATTGGCAAGAAACGCAATGTCATTGCCGCTATGATGTCACACTGTTTACCTTGCTGACACATCCACACCTTGCCTACACAAACTGGACTGTAGTGCTTGGTGGAAACGTGGCTATAGAGTGACATTATAACTTGGAATAAAGTTGATGTTTTTGTAAAATACATTTTAAAATATGATAAGCAAGATGACACGTTCACACACCTTCTTGAGTGCATGCTTTCACAGACATGGCTCTTTCTTTTCCATTCTTGTACACAGCACTGACTGTAACGAGGTACTCCGTTCCTGGCTCCAGGTCGGTGAGCACAGTCGAGTTCTGGCGGCTCTCGACGATCACGGTGTGTACTGCTCCGCTTGGAATGGCTCCGTACTCCACGGTGTATCTCTGAACCAGAGCTGGCTGCAGGGGACCCCAGCTTACTCGTGTCTGACGGGGGCCAGAGTCGTGCACTGAGACCACTGCTGGGCTTAAAATGCCTGAAGGTAGTATAGGAAGAGGCAACAGGATAATTATGACAAGGAATGAAATTGCATCTCAGATTAATTAAAAACAAAAAACAACAACTGTGAAACTGGGATGGTGTCTTGCGAAAAACAAAACAAAAAATCCCAAACCCTACTCTAGATATATATATAAATATTACATATATTTTAAAAAATACATTAAAATATGTATTGCATGGAAAGTTTTAATTAAAATTTACTTAAATACAAATGCAAATACAGTATATTATTGAACTTAAAAGTTAAATACAACTGAACAGTACTGAGGTAGTAATTCTTTCGCATACCACTAGAGGTAGCCCGTGTAGCACTCATGGTACTTTTTAACCAGACTTTGAGAATCACCGAGCTAAAGTTTTAAAACCATAAGAGTGCTTTGCTGTCTTTGTTTATTGATGATTTTTTTTAAAAACCACCATAGAAGAGTACCAATAAAGAAGAGGTGGAAAAGGGTGAGGACGTTTGATTGATTGATTAGGTGTTCATATCAGTGTTCTTCAGCATTGACGTTATGATAACATTCTCACCGGGAAGCGTGGTGAAGCTCACGGTGAGTGTATTAAAAAGCCTCTTGTTGGACTCAGGCCGGAGGAAGGCGGAATAGGTGGTTTCGGGTCGCAATTCGGCCAGCTCCACCGTGCTGGATTCTCCTGGGAGAATGCGTCTCCCCTCTGCACGTGTATTCCCACTGGCGCTATACCACAGCTCGTAGTAGCCACTTCGTGTGCTTAAAACAGGACGCCACTGCAGTACAGCACTGTGGGATGTGACGCGAATGGCACGGAGGCGCTCTGCTCGAATGATTCCTGTAAATGAGACAAAGAATTATGTTGAAAACGTCATCGGTGGCGGGATACAATACAATACAATACATCCTGATTTATATAGCGCTTTTTCACAACATGTCAGGACCTGCTAGCCGAAACACGATCACAAGCGCTGACCTACATTTGAACCTAAACTCTTAATATTTTTTTTCCATGAAACTGAATCAGTTTATTCTCAACAGTCTATTGTATTAGTTTTGTAGCGTTTCTCTTGACTGCATTGCTTCCTGCACATCCATGTGGATTTTTTATTTTTTTTTGCAATTACATTGGAGCCTTTATGTACTGCAAAGTCAATCTCATCGAGCCAGGGCATTCAGAATCAGTATGTTACTTAAATTATACTCTCAATTTGAGTGCTTCTTAGACCATTCAGATTTCGAATTCATTCTCATCTCCACTTTTCCAATTCTCGGTAGGTGCAAAGCTCGATAAACCTCCCGTCTGTAGTTATCTTCGTGAGGTCTTTGTCATATTATTTAGAGAAACATTCATTCTGAATTGCTCCGGATGATTTGCATGGCAGTTGCTTGCTGTTTTATTGCATTTTATATCGTATTGATAGTTTCTAGATTTGCAACGTGATAAACAGCTACCCCGGATGATAAACAGAGAATTGTCAGGTACTTCATCGCAACTCATCAGAGTGACAGAGACGTAAAACTTTAAATGTCAACTTTTAAATCTCATTGTACTCTGCAATTTTTCAGCAATACCAAAATAAATATTATAAAGAAACACACATATATACTGGACCCAGATACCAAACATATTGACACATACTGATAATAGCCTCTCTCATGGGTTCCGTGATGATGTCAATGTTGTCTATGTCTACAGAGTAAAGGTGGGACTCCAAAGGCGGGGAGACCACACGCTGCAACACATGGAAGTCGCCGTGCACGGAGGATACAATTAACACAGAAACCCCTTGCGCCTTCAACTGCGCTATGGGCTCGTCCACGTTCCCCAGCTCAACGCCATCCGTCAGCCAGAGCAGAATCTTCGGCACACGGGTGTCCGCCAGGAGCCGCTTAGCCACCTGTAGCGCCGCCTCGGTGTTGGTGCTCCCCTGCAGCTGTGTGATGCCGAGCAGAGCTTTCTGTAGACTTCTCTGTTCGTTGTGGACATCTAGGCCAAACTCCAGGGCTGGCTTGGTCCCCACTTGCAGTAGCCCAACCCTCACGTGGCCGCGGCCTAGCGAGAAGGGCTCAAGAAGCTCGGCGGTGAAGCCCAGCATACGTGAGAACTCGTAGTTGGCCACGCTTCCTGATGAGTCGAGCAATATGAGAATATCGCCCTCACAGCAGTTCGATACTAAACAGGAGAAAGAAGAAAAACAATTTACTTTGGAGGAGTCACAGAATACATTTGCTCACTTGTAAAATAAGTGGATTCAAACAAAAGGTGGTACAGTATGTGTATCAGATGCAGCTCCAAATACCGTGAAATTAAAGCGGAGACATTCATCGCTTATTCATGTTCATCTTTTGAATCTTAAAGACCTCAAAGTATATTATAGAGCAGAAATTCTTTCAATTCTTCCAATTCTTTCAAGGTGGAGTGTTCGAATTTATGCAGGCCATATCCTCCATTTTTGAAGCCTCAGCGGAACCAAAGGAATATTTTATTGCAGTAATTACCCACAATCATTAATTTTTTAAAGGGAGGAAAATAAAACAGCCGGAAAAGAGTGAAAAAATGGAGGACAACTGCTCATAAACCAAATACCTTTCGGGGTGTGAGAGAAGAAGCTGGGTGAAAATAAAACGAGACAGACACAACACACAAGCTGATGAGGGCTAGACTGACTCTTGTAGATGGAGATGCTTGAATGAAATGTTGCATCTTTGAATTCATCCAAAACGGAGGTGGAATCTGAGCATCTCATCTGTGAATGTGAGAGATGCCTGAAAATTCCACTGGATGGAAAAAAGTTTTGGGACGCCTAGTAATTATAACCTACCCTAAGAAGTGATAATGGAAACAAAGATACACGTGCCTGTTTTGAAAGTGATGGTGGTACATTCTTATGTTTGGTAAAATATTTTCCCAGTACGAACACACTGTTGTTGCTGTGTCCCTTTAGGCCAGGGGTGTCAAACTCATTTCACATGGTGGGCCACATACGGCCTCGGTAGATGTCAAGTGGGCCGGACCATTAAAATGATACCATACTTTGCTATAAATAACCAAAACAATGTCTTTCCTTTGTTTTGGTATAAAGAAGCACAAGAACATTAGGAAAATGTTGAAATTTAATGAACATATCTTTTACAAAATATTTCATGAAGCACCTTACATTTCCTTCGACAAATGTGCAATTTACTTTTATCATTCACATATATGCATTGCAAATGATCCCACTGATTGTACAAACATTAACAAGTAATTGGTATTGAAAAATATAGTAATGCACTTTAAGATTAAACGAGATTCATAAAGAAAGGAAGTTTTAAACCATTTACACGTGCATATAAAATCTAAATGTAATCTTACAAACTAAGGAGAGTGCTATTAAATGTGTAAATGTGAGAGTGCTATTGATAGCGTCTGCTGTCATGGGTCTGTCACAGTGACAGCCTGAGGCTGCTGTTGTCTTCTTCTCTGATCAAAACAGTGTCCCCCTGCGGATACTCAATGAATTGCACCTTATTAAAAATATTAATTCTGTCTTTAATGCATTTTTTTCACTTTTAAATTATCCTGCGGGCCTAATTGAACCTCCTTGCGGGCCGGTTCCGGCCCGCGGGCCGTATGTTTGACACCTGCTTTACATAATCATCTCGCGGGCCGGATTAAACTCCTTTGCGGGCCGGATCCGGCCCGCGGGCCGTATGTTTGACACCGCTGCTTTAGGCAACGGGTAGTTGAATACATAGGGTGGAGCAACACACGTAGACAAGACATTTAACAGTACTCACCGGCGTATAACTTTATCCTCTGTGAAGGACGACTATTATTACTGTGGCTTACTATGAAATTGTAATAAGCTCCATACATATCTGAATTACACTGCACCCAGATGGCCAACTAGAATGCAGCTGAAGGAGCAACATGATGTACATTGAATTAAAGCAAAGGGAAAAAAAGTGATAAACTGTAATTCTTGACATTTGATTTATTTTTAATGTGACTGTATGTTTTATTATAAATTACAATATCATAGAAAGATCTTGTTAAAAGGCAAGTCTGAATTTTTTTTTTTTGGTGGAGGAGGGGGGGGCAGAAACAATTAATTGGCATTTTTAGATGGTGCTGGTGTACCTAATGAAGTGACAGTCGAGATGAATTACGTCCCCTTGCTAAAATAAAAATATAGCGCAAATATAGACCCGAAATATACTTATTGTGAGAATGACTGTGTCGAGATATGATCGCGGTGTGCATGTTCTCTCTCACCTGAGTCAGGTAACTCAACGAGCTGCGAACTGCCGCGCTGCAACATCGCCCACAGAAAAACACAACCAGGCAAAATAGTCCTCATCCTCATTAGATGGTCACACACGACATAACTTTTCTCCTTTTAGTGTGGAAGTGTTGATTAGCAATGCACGATTGCGCGGAGTCATCTTCCTCCTCCTCCTACTCGTGCTGGTCCAGGAAGCACATCATCGTTTAAAAGCGTTCCGCGGTGCCAGAACGCGTCGTCTAGCTGCTCTAACATGTAAAAGGGAGGCAGCCGTTGCCCGCGGTCATTCACTGATTCATTACAGGTCTAATGGGCACATAAAGGGCAGACTGCACACTGCTCTTAAGTTACGCCCCTTGCACTATCAATACCAATTGTGCATTATTACGAAGCGTAAACATCATACGTCACACCTCACGTTCACTCACCGCAGTATGCTGTTGACAGTGTTTCATTTGATTGTTTTTTTTAAACTACATTTCTGTTTTTCATGAAAATATTTGTAGTAATTATAACATGTCGGAAAAAACAAATGGCACGCAAGGAACTAATACTGTACGTTGTCACGCGATCTGTGGTTGGAAAGAAACGGAGTCCTTAAAAATATTTCAGGAAGGGGAAGTCTGTGGTGTTAAAACAGCTGGAATGATTTCAATGTAGCCTCACTTTAATAATCTTCAAATCCGCAATTCTGAGACGTGGCCATTCATTATGATGAAATTATGAAAGCACATAGTTGTCAGAGAAAACATATCCAGCTTCAACAAAATAACAGCACTAAGATAACAGCAATGTAAACAAGCCAACATTACTGCTACACTTGTAGTATAATTTCCGTATTTATAATGGAGTGTGACAAAATTATGTTTAATGTTTTTTTTAATGATACTGTACAATCAATTCTATTCAAAAAGAGGTGATACCGTGAAGCAGAAACATGGCTATTTTCACTTTGTTTCTGAATGCTCTCAGTTGCTTGAGGTCCCTTTGCTCTGCTTTTGTTTGCTAGTCTTATATCTTGTCGTCGGTAAATGAGGGATTATTTTCTGGAGGTGGATATTCTGCCATAGCTCTGTCCAAGGTGACAGGTCATCTCAAGACCACAGGGGTGTGACTGCAATCAGTGTGCTCGGCAAATGATTGACACCTCATCTGTCAGTCCTTTGGTCTTTGATTGGTTGTTTTTCCTTGTAATCAGTGGTTTCTTAAAGTTCATGATAAAGATACAAGTTGGGGGCAATAGAGAGATTCATCCATCCATTTTCTGATCCGCTTATCCTCACAAGGGTCGCGGGCATGCTAGAGCCTATCCCAGCTGTCTGCGGGCAGTAGGCGAGGTACACCATGAACTGGTTGCCAGCTAATTGCAGGGCACACATAGACGCACAACCAACTCGCGCCTTGGGATAATTTAAAGTGTTCCATTAACCCCATGCATGTTTTTGGAATGTGGGAGAAAACCGGAGTACCCGGAGAAAACCCACACAGGCACGGGGAGAACATGCAAACTCCACACAGGAAGGCCGGAGTCGAACCTTGCACTGCCGCACTGTGAGGATGATGTGCTTACCAATCGCCCATTGTGCCAACCCTGACAGGTCATACCAACATTGTCAACAGATATAATAAGTGTAGTTGCATTTTTTTTTTTTAATTCCTTCTAAGTAGATTTATTTCAGGAGATCTTTGCATAGATTTTTACTTGAAGATTCGGTTTTCTGATGACTTTTTGCTGACACCCATGCTGGATGTTGATGAAAAATATTGTTTTGTAAGAACAATAATTTCTAAAACTAATTAACACAGATAATACGGTAAAAACAAATTGGCAATAGCACTGGTTAATACATGACAGTATAACATACGGTAATCCTCAGCAACCATGCAAATATGCCACCTAGTGGCTGTGAGTCAAGAAAAGTATTTGGATCTTTAGGTTTGGTGTTGGAAAAAGGAAGAAGAGTTGAGTCTTATCTGAGTTTTTGTCTGACTTCATGCACATGAGCCCGCAGACAGTGAAGAGGTGCATGATGGGTAAGAGGAGGGATGTCTTGGCAGGCCGATGAAACGATAACACTTCAAATGGCTGCTGGAATCTGTTGATACATGGTTTAAAAAAACAATCTTGCTCACATATTCGGCTGGAATTTCTCTGCTCACGTAAGCAAAGTCTGACAAGTTTAACCACCTTAGAATCATTCCTCCAACTTTGTCAATAACTGATTCAATGCAGTTTAGAGGCCTTTTGTTTAGGCTGAGGAGCTATGACCACCAAATATTATTTTTTTTCCGCACCGCATGCATTCTTCTGCGCCTTGTGCTCCTCTTTCCAGACAGGTCCTATAAACTTTAATCAAGACAGATTAGCTAACTAACCGACACCGATGCAGTCGTAAAGTCATTGTCACAGTAAATATTTGCATGAAAACCACTTTTACGCAGTCAATATAAAACAATCAAACGATAAAATAGTATGTCAAGTGAACAGAAAAATCTGTAAATATGTGATACCCATCCAAAAAAGGTAATTGGCTAAAGATGCCACAAGATGGTGGCCAAATCAGTTTATTTATTTATTTATTTATTTATTTATTTACTCCTAGACAAATATTGTGGCATGACTGAGGTGCATATTCTCCCGTCGGCTCTTAAATTTAAGTTTAAGGAGTTTTCACGAGACAAGTGAATTCTATAGATATCCATTTCAAAAATATGGCCGATTTTGATTGCGAATTTAAATTGCGTAATTAATCCGGAAGTCATTGCCAGTGACGTAACGTGGGGGAGGGGTCAACTCCAACCCACTTTGAAGGAGCGTGTGTTTTTTGTATTCATTTTTATAATAATTTTAAGCAATTTATTTGTTTCAGAATAACGTGCTCATAACGAAAAGCTTAAGAAATCATACAATTTGAGAGTTGACGTGGGGCACCAAATTCCCCATAAAAATCTAATATTTATGACCTCATATTGCGACAACTTTATTGGTTGTGCACGACGCTTCATCTGCAAGTCGAATTAGCATGTGGAAATGCTTCTCACAGGTGAGGAAAAGAGCCAATTACACCATCGTTACGTCATGGTCGTACACTGAGTTTGTTAGCTTTCAGGAAATTCCCTTTAAACGTGTTATTATGCATTTGCTCCACGTTGTGGATTGTTTACAAGATGAGTGTTGGTGGCAAGGAAAACCCTCAGACGGCTTTGAAGTGACGAGCTGCGGAAGACAACGCAGACTACGCAGCACTTGACATGACTTGACTGTTTATCCAGACATGTACGGATGTAGCCGTCTTTCCTTCAGTGTGTGCGTGTGTGTGTGCGTGTGTGTGGGAGGGGGGCATGCGTGTGTGGGTGTGTATGCGTGTGTTTTTAGACATCTGTCTGCTGCCTGTCTGGACATGTGGCATCACAGCCCTATTGCTAAGTTGCAATAAAGTGTGTCTTCGTGTTTGTAGGGACAAACATGTAAAAGAACAGAGCGTCTGTTTTTTTTCCAAATATGAAATGGTGCATGTGTTTTCCACTCTATATGGTGTTCTGCACAAAAGCTCCAGGTGAAAACAAACAAAAGCGTGTCAACTTTCACCTTTCACAACCACAGTGCAGCGATTTGTATCTCACGAGAGATCATCGGGTGTGCGTTTCGAAGCTCTTTAAACACATATTGAGAGAGCAACGATTAAAAAAAAATATTGTTAAAAAAATGTAACTAAAAATCGCTCAAAAATAAAAACATGCGAAATGCATGCCTTGGATATGGCATTCTTCTTTATCACCATCATCTTATCTGTACGAAGTTTGGTATGTCAAACAAATTCTGTAAGGGCTTTGCCAGGCACATCAAAGAATCCAAAATTGACTTTAGTGACTCATTTCTTTTAGCAAGTTAACAAAGCAATTTACCAGCTAGGACAAAATCTCAGTGTTGCTAATTTCCCCTCATTCTGTAACATTAGCCAAACTTGGAAGAGCGGCACATATGTAATAATTGGCGATTCTGATGCTTGTGCTGCCTTTGGGGTACAGCATTCGACAAGTGTGTACTTCATGATGATGAGTCATGTCTCTGCAAGTTCAGTTCGTATTAATAGATAAGTGAATGTAAAATTTATAGCTGGCCAGGGGGCAGAAAAAAACATTAAAAGCTCTTGAAAGTGGCTGTTTGAAAGTGCTCTATAAATACAGTTGAGTTGAGAGTGGAGTTGAGTTAAAAATGAACTGGATATGGTTGGTATATGGATTCTTACGAAAAAGAAATCACTGACTTTGCTTTAATGTCATTTTAGTGCTGGCTTTTAGTTTTTTCACTCTTACGTTTGGAGTAAAAAAACTGAAATATTAAAATTTTGACAATACAGTGCGCACTGTACTTAGAAAACTGACCTGGAAAGTTTTTGCATTTGATCTTTGAAAAGTCATTAGGAAACATTGTTTTATTTGTTCACATGTGAACAGATTTTTTTTTTTAGGAGGGGGGGTGGGCAAACATTAAGGTGCCATCCTTCCATTTTATCCATTTTAGGGTCCTAGGTGAGCTTGGTTGGGTACTGTACACCTTCGACGGGTCGCCAGTCACGAACGTTGCACCAACAGACAAACAACCATTCCGCTCGCATTCACACTTTGAAGGTGTTTTCCGTTCTCATTCCATTTCCGACTCTTTTCATTTGGCTCATCCATTTCCTGGAGCATTTTACATTTCAACCATCTGTCCTATTTATTCATGTAGTGAACCTGACACATTTGTCTCTTTTAGAGCCCATATTCGAATGCTCCGTGTGTGCTTTGATTCAAATACTGCAGCAGCGATGATGATAGCATCTTAGGAGGGTTGTGTCATTGCATTGATTCGTTCCTTAGTGCTGACTTGAAAGTAAACGAGAGGAACAAACAGAGACACGCGCACAAACACATCCACACAAAGTTGCCGCTTTGCTGCTGACTAAAGCAATAATCACACAGGTTGAGGGTGAAGGGCTGATCAAAAATGCTTTGCGGTATTTTCGAAAATCCGCAGTTGGCAGAATGTTTGATAGAACTCTTGTGTTCAATCTCTTGAGCTATAGTTGTACCTATTGTTGTTGCGCGGGTGTTTTACCGTATATCTGCTTTCTTTCAAATTTTGGATTCTGTCTTTATGTGACGTTTTATAGCTGCTATTCTTCAACACATCCATTGTCATTCCGCTCAGCACCGCCGCATGCTCAAGGATCACCCGAATATGTCGCCACCTCTGCTCTTCGCGTTGACGGTCGTCTATGAGACGAGACGATCGGCTGACTCTCATCCACAGATGGACGCGGTGCGGACAGAAAGGAACCATTCATCGTCACGCTGAAAAGTAAATATTAGTATGAGTTGAACTCTTAAAACGGGGCTACCCCCGGAATGATGACAGATGCTGTCATGCTGCAGCTTCTTTGTGTTTTTTTTATTTGTTGAATGTGAAAAGTGCAAACTTGGACAGCAATTAGCGAATGTTGGCATCTGATTCAGGATAGTAACTTTTTATTTTATTTATTTATTTTTTTGTATCATCCATGAAAGCCAAATGTGTTGTTCCCGCTCTGCTTCACATGAACGAGAAACTTTGAACATTTTACTTTCTGTTCCTAACAGATCATGACATGCATGATGGCAGTGTTGGACAGGAGGTGGGTTACACTCGAGATTGCCAATCACAGGGCACATATGGACATACAGCCATTCACAAATACCAATGAACAATTTATCATATTTTTGTAATGTGGGATGAAGTCCGAGTGTCCAGAAATAGATGCGAATGACTGTGAGCTCAGGTATTTTTGACAAGATGGAAATAATTATTCATTAATCATTTATTTGAGTGTCAGTCTCACACACGTGAGCTCGATAAACATAATTGGACGGATGACGCGCATCCTCACACAGAATAGAAGAACAAAACAAATACTGATATCATTAAAAGTAGATTATTGGGACAGAGGTCCTTTTTTTTTTTTTTTTTTTTTTTTTTTACCCCTTGGCTGAATATGATTTCTTGATTGAATGTGTAATTGGCCGGACTGACCTATTGTGCTCCTGTGCTATCCTATCCTGAATCATGCAAGGGTGTGTTGTCGAATTTGGAAGCAGGGTTTCATGAATAGCCTGCCTTGATTCCTTTTTATGTACTCGCCACGGGCGACAGGTTGTAATGAGATAGAAGTGGAACATGGAAAATGGATTTTCGATGTGAGAAAACAAGAAGGACCTACACCTACAGGGTCCCGCGACAAGCCACGCTATTATGTTGTGGACTAAAGGGAGATTATCGAGGCAGAAGGTGGAAAAGAAAGGGAAGATTATCTGTTAGTGGGAGCTCGCGTCTTCGCCTTCTTATCTCTGCTGGGTAAGAGGAGAGGCAAACTCAACACTTGTGTGTGCACAGTTGAATTTGAAGACAAATAGAGAGTGGCGGCCTGACATCATAAAAACAAAGGAGGAAAGTATTTTTTGTTCCCTGACTCGCCCGCCCACTGACCATAACGTCGGCTACACCATTTTTCCGCTTTAGGCTGTAAGCCAAGATGTGCGATGTCCACTAGTTTAATGGCAACAGAAATGCCATAGATAGGTGAAAAAAATGGCTTCGTGTTGCAGAATAGTTGAACAAATAGTAAAGGAACACATGCACAGAGAATATAAAAATACTGACAGAAATATTTTCTTTATCCTATTAAAAACAACGAATATTACTACAGTTTACTGAGAAGCTGGGATCATGTCTGTGTATCTCTGTATGGCTGTATTATACGCCCTCCCCCAAGTAGCTAAGTTGTGTATACCAGAAGGACACAATGTGTTAATGCACAATGTACATTGAATTGAAACAAAAAATGTGGCAAAAACATGTTACATTTTTTTTCATGTCACATCTGTATGTTTTTATAAAGTGGAATATTATAGCGTGCGATTTTTCTTATTAAAAACACTTTACCATTGTTTTTTTTTTTTTTTTTTTTTAGGCTTGCACGGATTAATGGCATTTCCATTCATTTCAATGAGGAAAGAAAGATAATTCCAGCAAATTGTGGGACCGTATTATATTAGACACAAGTACAGAGAGAAAAATAAATAGCTTTTTAGGGTGATTTTGGGGGTGCTCGCTATATTAGGTGGGGTTTTATACTCGAGGCATATTACAGGAATTCTGTAAAAGGCAAACATGTAAACCTTGCAGCGAAATCATCTGGGGATGCCGCTATCATGACAATAAGATGTTATCACAGTAAGCAAATGAATCCAGAGGGGTTGATGCTGGAGGAAACAATCAAAAAGATATTTTTTCTCCGGGGGAGAGCTAATTAGGAATAGTGTGGCTGTAAATGGAAGGTAGAAAGGGGACATTGTGGCCATAACAAACATCTGGCAATGCGCACACGTGTGTGTGTGTTTGTGTGCGTGTGTGTGTGGGTGCGTGTGTATGACAGTACACAAGAGGAAAATGAATTGAGAGCCGTAAATGGCTTATAGATTTAGCTTGAGTGCTTCATAAAGCAGCAGAGAACAAGAGCGCAGATGAGACAGTGTTGTTATGAGTAAAGTCATATATTGTGCAGCCAGCTTGAAATTAATGGGACTGTTGGAGTGATAAGAAACACATCTGCACCAACACTCATTCAGGAGTGGGAGTATTTGTTGTTGACAATATGCAGATTTGTTAAATGTGACCTTTGTCATCACAGCCGTCTCCAAATGAATGACTCGACTCAGTGCCTCATCCAGAGGCAGACTATTATGCAAAAGAACAACACAAATTGTTCGCAACATTTGCTTGGGCTGAAAGTGCTGTCAGGGTGACTGAATGCTTTTTCGACTTCATGCAAAGGTCGTCTTTCAAATTCTATCTAAACGTGTCGGACACATACTGTGCATTGCAAACTTCGATCTGTGTATGACAAACATACATAATATAAATATCTCAGTCCATTTACATTTATCATACAAAATGTAGACAGACAGTCATTCACTCACATGTGCACTGAGGGTTCTATTTTTCGTGACCCAACCTGGGAAAATCCGTGCAGCAGGTTAAAGCCGATGTTGAAAATGTTGCAGATAAGCGCTATATGTTGTGTTAGACCAACTGTCAACCTTGCGCCTGCTTTTAACATATTTTGAGCAGATCAATTCTCTAATACGAAATTTCACATCTGCAACACACTCCCTCCACTGCGGTAGCCCGCTGAGCCCGACTGGGCCACAATATATTGGCAAAATATGCGCAGCAAGTCCTGGGCTGAAATGAAAATCTGGACATTTGCGTTTATTTAAAATAAAAATAAAAAAATAGAGGCCGAAATTTAAATGAGACTTTCTTGCCACTTGCTATGTCTCATCCAAAACCGAACTGACATGGCAAAAGCTAAGTGGATGAGTGTCTTTTAAATGGATCATAAAAAGAGGAGATGCTCATTGCACTAATTAAAAGTCTTTGCTTCCCAACGCCTACGGCCTGCCCTGGAAGTGTTTCTCCTCAGAGAGACGTGTCTCGCTGGCTGCTGGTAATTATGCACTTGAGCGCTTCATCACCCAAAGTTGTTTGGTGTGCAGAGGATGTGAAAATCACAGTTTGTTGGAAGCATGATGCGGAGTCCTGAAAGGGTTTTATTTGCTTGGCCACTCATCCCCAGAAATAGGTTGAGATTGGAAACTTCTCAGGAATCATGCAAATTGAGCAACGAAATAATAGACCCTCCCAGATTTGACTAAATGTATCTATTTTTTTTCTGTAACTACAATGGTTTTTGTGTATGCTATTTATATAACACTGATACATGTAATTCTCTCCTAGCCCGATGATATGCTGTTGTTAACACATTATTTTGAATAGTTCTGCGAAAAGAAAGAACAAAACAGTATACATCGTAACATCTTACATAGGCAGTGAAGAAACAATGACACTTTAAGCCGTATACAGTATTTATCAAGTCTGTTTCATGCAACGCAATTATTCAATCCGCATTGAGCGTTGCTCTTCAAATGGAATTATTCTATTGACTCAGTGCGGCTGTGACACGTTGGCCATCTTTCCGGCCTGATATTAACGTGCGCACTTGACACACTTTGGGCATACAGAAGCATCCATTACCTCAATCACTTCAAAGTGGAACATTGTTCTCGTCAAAATGTGTGGGCTGCTAAATTGTCAGTGTTTTATTTAAAGGCGAGCTTTATATTCAGCGGTGCCCAGTACTAAACTAGTTTGACTGTGGAGAAGTTTTGCTTTTGTCTACTGCTTTGGCTGAAATGGTGAAAAATACACAGTATTGTAGTCTGAGAAGAGTACAAATAATTTGTTACTGTTATTATCGATACAGCTTTTGGATAGGATCTTATTTGATTGAGGTGTACCTGATGAAGTAGATGAATATAAACAATTTTTATCTCTAACGATCTCTTAATATTTGAAAACAAAATCATTTTGATCAACAATAAAGTTCTTTATTGAACATGTCAGCCATATTCTGATGCTAATAATACACACGGTACCCGTACAATGCTGTAATCTGTACCAATGATGTATTTGTCAATATGCCCAATTGATTAAAGGGCCCCTAAGCATCAACACAATAGACCTCAACCGTTTCACCAGTTGACTAACCTCTTTCCATGCTTGTATATTGTTAACATCGATTAGCGTAATGAAAATATATTGGCTCGCTTTGTCTTCTAATCGGACCTTTTCGTATGTGTATTGTCTCACATGAATGTTAAGCAATTACTCAATAGAATCAAATCAGTAAAAGCATTTTTTTTTTTTTTTTTTTATAGGGAAAAGGTCACACCACAAAAGAAATACTGTGGAGTCTATTGTTATTGATGGGAGTACCTGTACTCAATATGACGAAATGTATTTGTGTTGTTTGGCACAAGCAAGACGGCAAAAACAATATTTTCCTTTCCTGGTACTAATATACAGAGTACAGTTTACACTCATCACGTATTTTACTGTATCTGTACAGCAAAATTGAAGTAATGCATACATGAAGCAAATCACTTAACAGCAGAATGAGCCAAGACAATCTGGTGATCAAATTCTACTTCAACACTTGGCACCCATTAAACAGTCATTATACAATCATACTGCACACTTTTGTTTTCTAATCATTGTTTTACACCATGATAATCACAGCCTCCCTCGTAGAGTACAAGACATGACTGCCAGAAAAGCTACATTAAGTGCATTTATACAGGGAAAAAAAAAAGGCTTTACAGAAATCCACCTTGGACACAATTCAGTAAATATCCTTCCATCGCTGGCTCCAGGTACACGGAATTCTTTTGTACAGTTAGCAAAACTATTTTGATCGAAAGCGAAGCTGTATTGTGTGCACTGTAATTCCACGTTCGACCAATAGAGGGAGACACACTTAATTCATTTGAGACTAAATTTGAAAGAACAAAACCGGAAGTATTATACTTCATCGCAGCCGAGTTTTTGCTGAGAATACAGAATAACAGAATAATAGCTTTATGTTCAATTAAACAGGCCTACATTTCACACAGAGTAAATAAATGTGCAAGTACACCGAGACATTATTATTATTTGGGTTTTCAGTGGTGTCTTCACATAAGAATGACTAGACCCTAAGAATTTTTTGAGATGGACTAATTTTTTTGTTTAATGACAAACATAACTTCACCTTAAAGTCTGCTATCTTAATGCTACCATAATATGAAAAGACATTGACAGATTAACAAACGGCATCCATGTGGCGGTGATATAATGCATCGGACAATTTGACTATTTGAACACAAGCGGTGCAGCAACACATGTAGCCAGACACCACAACAATACAAAACTACCTTCTATATACTCTGCAAAAAAACAAACAGATCAATATTACCGCAGCTTACTGAATTAATTACAGCAAACGTGAAGGTCTTCTTCGTTTGTTTCTGCATCATGATCCACAGTGTTTAATTCTTCACTTTATATTTAATTATGCCAATACTGTATGATTTTATCAAATTATTATAGAGTGCTATTGTCATTATTTAAAAACGAATTGCCCATTTTATGTAAGCTATGTCAAGGAACCCCATGATATATTATATTATTCAGTGGTGTGTCGTGAGGTTTTTCTACTGTAAAGAATATGCCTTGGCTCACTGGCAAACACTGCTCTCGGCATTATATGAGGTAAGAAAAAGCTACCGGTGACTCAGCATGGCATGCCTTTTAGTCACCACCTTAATGCAGCAATCAGACCCAGGCGTGGACGCTGCCCACCCAGTCCATCAGCCTCCCTGTGTACCGTGCGCGACTGATTGGCTGAATGAGAAGCAGTAGTCGAAACCTTCGCAGCAGGCCGCAGAAGACCGCCGCCGCCACCACCACAAGCGGCGACATCATCACAAATCCCAGGATGATGAGGGCCGAGCAGCTGTTGTCGTCCAGGTAATTGCAGATGGCCGACGAGCCGTCCAGGATCTGTGGGGACACAGGGGAATGGCGTGAGAGTGGAGGACAGATGTCGTTGCTTGTTTTTTTACCTGTCTGTACAAAAAACGATTGTGTGCTGCAATTACGATGATGACGATGAACAGGGAACACAAAATATTTAGAACCAACAAATTTTTAAAAAGTTGTATGTTGATGTTCCAGGAGAGCCGTTATCTTTACTAATTAAATACTTCATATTTATTTTCCGAGTCTCAGAGTCAAAGCAGATGGATGAAAGTGCCATATGTGACCCTAGAGCTGCGACTTCCAGACCCCTACTTTTGATTTTTGGCTAGTATGTTAAGTGGGCGCATTTGCGTTAGTATTTATAAATGGGGGATGTCATGTAGGCAGTCAAGTGTGAGAAAACAAGTCTCTCAGAGTTGGCACCAACTCTCTGAGCTGTCAAATCAATTCCGGTGATGGGGAAGTCCACACGCACAAAAAAATTTCCGCCGCATCGGACCTGTCAATCCAGCATTTAGCATTTTACATGTGACCCATTACAGAGAGGCTATATTCCCGCAACATGCACGTTCACAAAGTGACACAGCATCCCACAATCTAAGAATTGTCGGGCAGCAACAATTGCTTTCGACACATCAACAAGGTTGGAGGGCGGGTTAAAAATTCACACTCCTGTCTCAACATTGCGGCAATCCCGACTCTGTTACGCTGTTTCTCTGGTACATTGATTTTTCATTTTGGAAAGAAATCTATAACAATGTAACCATTTTGTTCTCTCCCTTTAATCGCTTTTACCAGCAATTCCTTTTACCAAATCCCTTAATATAAATTGGTCAATACTATTAGAAGTGCAATACTGTATTTGCTTGCCACCATCGTCCATGACTTCTGATCGAAAAATATGTAATTTGATCAGTTACTCTTGAACCCTCCAAATGATAGAGAAGTGTTGTAAAACTGCGCCTCTTTCCTCACTCTGCAGAAGCTGTGGGGTAATTGTCACTTATATTAAAAGTTTGGATGTTTTTTTTTTAATTTTTAATTTTTTTACAATAACAGGTTGGATATATTTGAGGACTTGTGTTCAGGGACAATTGCTCAGGTAATGGCCAATCTCGGCTCACCTGTTTTTTGAAGCTGAGTCATGATTGGTCGTTATATGAGCACCGAACAACTGTGATGTCATTTTCAGTTGACAGCAACTGACAAAATGGCCGCCCCCTGAGATGGACAAAAACAAGTGGATTTACTGTTTTAAGTCAAATTCCACATCACAGTATTAATCCGAATGTCGTGTTTATACTAGTGGGGCTGCATAAAACATTTCTTGTCAAATATTTTGGGGGGTTGACTTCCCCTTTAATTTGTATTTTATTTCATGAACGTCAACAATATGCACGTGTGGATTAAAAACTTGTCCACTTTTATTTTCTTTTGAAAATGTTACTGAAGTTCCATTAAGTACTATATACATTGTTCTGTCCAGTATAAAAGATCATATTTTCCTCACACTCTTTCCGTTTTTTTTTGTTTCATGTTAAAATTTGGAATTTTGTGTATATTGGCCCATTGTGAAAATTTGTAATGTCAGGTTCAAACTTTAACACGTTCTCACTACATCAGAATGTTGACATTGTTCCTTGATTTGCGCTGCGGCTTGTCCATATGGAATGATTATGAGGAGTCAGACCAGTTCGGAGCCACTGATTTAGTGTTCAATGAAGCTGAAGCGCAACTTTTTGGAAAGTGGCACCAAGGCACTCTTAAATCCACCTCAGAACTGTGAGCCAGACACAGCGCTGCCCTTCAGACTCCCATTTGCAGTGCAATCGATTCACGGTCGTGATTGCTTCCTTGCCAGACGGGTTGACATTCCAAAAGTTTGATTGATTCAGAGTTGCGCTGTGATTCTTATGCATTCGCTTGAGAATTTTGAGCAGAGTATTTTACTGCCTTGCTTGTGTTTATTCTCCACACTGCCATGCAGTAGTAAAATATAATATCTGCAATGGTTGCATGTTGGGCGGAGTTGGCTTATAGAAGGACGTAGCTGTAGCTCTTCACAAGAAGATGTGACACCAAGACCCATGCAGAATTAAACCTGTCGGTCCCTCAGGGTTCGGCGTGTTTCATACCTTGTCTCTCTGTGCTCGCTGCTTACAGTGTTTGCATACTAATGCAATGTGTAGTACCAGTAGTTTAACGTCAAACAAAAAGCTTAAAAACAATCCGCTTGTAATTAAGTGAGGTGTTTGTCCCTGCCATGGAAACAACTAATTACCTACTTCAGTTGCCTATTCTACTAGTGGACTTGCCCGGAAAGTAGAACCATTCAAAACTGTCAGACTGTAATCAAGAGTATGAAAAGCAAAGCACTCGCCTTCTGTTGTGTTTGTTTCTTACTCTCAATGTTCCTATGTCAGGATGACCCACTCTTCCCAAAAATATAGTAGTTGGAGTTTTCTTCTCGAAAAAGGGACATGAGACTTTCATTTGTGGCTATGAAACAAGATAAGAATAGTACACTAGGAAAAAAAAAAATTCCCATTGCTTTCCATATGACAAGATTTGAGACAGCTGGAAGGCAATCAGGGAATCAATTGAGCAGAAGATTGCCGGAGACGTGGGGGTCTATTTTTGTGTCCAGCACGGCAAGGTGCTGAACTCTGCACAGAGGCGGTTAAGACCTTGTGTTGGTATCATCGCCGACACGTGGAAATGGCAGGGGGAGTCGTATTATTAAAACGGACAGTTTGTGCCGTTGTGGCTGTGAACACAGCCGACTTGATTCACTGCGGACCAAAGCGGATCCTCTCATTTCCTTGAAATGTGGCATGCGAGAAGTCTATCAATCTTCCAGATGGTAATAATGCTTTCAATTAATTGATTTCTACAATCATTCAGAGGGTATGATGCACGCAGTTGAGATAGTTATGAATGAAATATGATGACATCCATCACAAACACCCACGTAGCTCAGAATTTGTCTGCCTGCACCTCGATCAAATCCACCAAAAATCACGTTACACCTCCCGCACCACAACTTGGACCTGCTTGACCTGGTTTAAAGATGAGTCTACTTTCTGCAAACGCTGGAACACCCAACAGGATGCAGAGAGATGAACCAAATTCCCAAACATGCTTGTGGATATTCTCATTAATCCAGGTCATTTCTTTCTCGGGGCATTGAATCAATTGCAAACATCTTACAAGACATTTCTGCCCTCATCCGAGAAGGCTTCATCAATTCTTACAGCAAAGCTTTATTCGGACAGATGTTCCCAAGAAACTTAATGATTTTGCCCTGGACAAACAACAGAAACACCATCCCTCCTGACTGCAAAAGTAGCTCTCTACTTTTTTACAACTGAATGGAATATTAATGAGGGATTTTCCACCCAGCGACTTATTGATCGCCAGAGGCCTTTCTGCCAAGCATATTAATAATGGTCGTTTGCATCCCAAAAGAATGATATCATTGCCGGGGGAGGGGAGGGGGGGTTACCTTCAACTTGGAGCATAAATAGTTGAGTTTTTCCAGATCAACCCAGCCTGGTCTGTCGTAATCAAGCCTAGTTGCATGAACTGGTGAAGCCTTCTCAAATGAGAGAAGGAACATCTCTGAAGACAAACGGAGCAGTCCAATTGCAATGAAATTCCCAAACAACTGCAGCGAGGCTCGCGCCTACAAACATGCGCCAGTCCATTCATATATTATAAAAACAACACCTGTAGACAGACAACAATACTCACAAGCACATGTTCTTTATACTCTGTAAAGGATTAATATCAATGTGGCTTAGCAAGCAAATGCGACCATCTCTTTTATGTAGTCACGTGACTCTTATACTGCCCCCCAGGTGGCCATGGCCACACCAGAAATAGAATCGCTTCCTTACATTGTAAGTTGTTTTCTGTTTTTAATAAATGTGTTTTTTTATGTCTTGAATTGGTAAAAAAAAAAAAATCATATTTTTATTTTTCACTTTTGATGGGTTCGGTGAATGTGCATATGAACTGGTTGGGTTCGGTACCTTTAACAAGGTTAAGAACCACTGGTCGAGAGTATCTCAATGCACCAACCACTGTTCTGGACATAGTGACTGTATGTTGGAATCAACTCACTCTGGAATGGCACAGGAATCCAGCGTAGAGCAGCACCACTGCTGGCAGCAGCACCAAGGAGAAGACCAGCATCAGGAGCAGAGCACCAGCCAGGAGCACACACAAGTTCCAAAGGACCAGAGCTGCTCCGCAGACAACGCAGCCCGCGCTGCTCCTGCGGGTACCCCAAGCCGAACCCCCGCTACGGGCCACAGGGGGGGGCAGCATCTTCACTCGTTCGCCCAGCCACAACTCTTCCTCCTTCTCTTCCTCGACTGAGCCTCCATCATCCAGGTCAATATCTGTGCCACACATCCTGAAAGGACGATTTAGTCACATGGGGAGGTGGGGGGGGGTTATAGATATGCACAAGCCCCATGGTGCCTTTTTGTGTGTGTGTGTGTGGGGGGGGGGGGGGTTCAGTGGGAAGTAAAACTCATGATCCCCTTTTCGTCTCATGACTGATGGTCTGAAAATCATTAGACAAAATGCAAATCAGGATCCTATATTTTTTTCGCACAGGCACGCCCATCCTACCGATCAATCCTTTGTCGCTTATAGCTTGGCCATTGACACAGGCAATCCATTTTAATCTAAAACGTGCAGAGATGAAACGATCATTAAAGCATTCATGCATAGCATAGCTCTTAATTCGGATCCACTTTATAATCCTTGAGTGACATTTCCTCTCACAATATCAACAATAATTTGCGCATGTAATGAAGTAGTCAACTGCTTACCTGCAAGTGTGTTCGAATTCCGGTGAGTCCACTCGGTGCTATTGAAGTCTTGCTGCTTTTACACGCGAGAACAACAAACAAGACTCGTAGTGACAGTTTTTGAAATGATGGGCTGGAGAAAAATCAGCTGCGAGTTTGGGCGACGCTGAGAGAGCGGTAGACACTTTGGGCGCGCGACCTGAGCTCGCGTGCACGAGCACCACACACACACGCACACACACTCGTCTGTATATTCCCCCCACATGGATAATTTATTTCATGACAAATTCATTATTCATCATTTGCAATTTATATAAACATTTAATTCCTTCTGAATGTGGTTTCCTTTCTTTTTTCTTTCTTATTTTTGCTTGCTTGAATATCCAAGCATTTAGGTCAAGTCAAGCTTTATTGTCAAATATGCTCTATGTGCAACATACAGCACAGATGAAATTACTTTCCTCTCTCAAACACAGTGCAAAGATGCAGTGCGCTGAAACACACACAGCTAAAAATAAGGGGAGCAAACTGAACTGCACAAAAATACATAAAGACATAAATATATAAATATAAACAAATAAAACAATAAATATGATTTTTTTTTGGTACCAATTGCTTGTTTTTTATTTGTTGTTTTTTTCCTTCCTTTTCAATTTCGCCCACCTATTTTGGTGTGAAGTTTTTTGAGGTGAAACCTTTATGCTGAAGCGTGTTTGGAATGTTCTGCAGAGGGTGCGGGAATGTGGAATTTCTCACTTATTTTAACTGGCCTATCTAAGGTGAAACACATGGATGGCTCAGTGCTATGGTGGCTGTTTCACAACTTGAGGGTTGAGGCTTGAAGTTGACGAAGTTCAACTTTTGAGTTGAAACAAAGTTTATCCTTTATTTGAGCTGACTTCTGTTTTCGAGGCAAAATCCGTTTTTGACGGAAGGCGTCAATAAAAATGTCAGTTTTGAGTTCCTTTATGAAGTGTGCATAGTGTCTTCAGGTGGTCAGGGAGAAAAGGGGTGGAGGCAGTTCATATTTTTGGAACGGAGGTTGTGTGGATGACGGGGAAGGGAGAAAATTGCCATGTATGCAGAGATGTGCTAACAGTAAGATTTTGTCTTCATCCCCATGGCATAAAGAGAAGCCATTGAACTGAGTGCAAGACGGGGTCGAGTGTTCTGTTTTTGGTGTCTGGTCGGAATCGTCGCAACACTGTTCCGTATTTGGGGTTTTCTGGACTGTGCGGCTTCGAGGAGAACAGGTATGATGTGCTACAATCAACTAATGCTGTGCAAGCGCTTGATGGGCAAATTCTGCGGTTCGGGCGAAATGTAATGATGAAGAACCAGCATCTTCCGCCATAAGCAGGTCATTCGTCACCCCGACCAGAGCGGTTTCTGTGCTGTGGGCTCAGCGGATACTTTTCAAAGAGGCTATTGCACTTGTTTCTGAAGCTGTGCGGTGACATTTTTTTCCAGAACTTTTGAAAGAAATAGGAAATTTGCTGTGGCTTTGTAGTTGGCAAGGACTTCTGGATCCTTGGTGGGTTATTTTTTTTTAATTACAAAAGAGGTCTGATGTCATCTACTTTTAAGGAAAATCAATGAGGCATGGCCTGCACGAATGGAAGGAATTATGACTTAAAGTGCCCGTTAAGTAACTTCAGAAATTTCTTCTCAATCCATGATGACATTTTAAGGATAATTAAAGAGCAATGGGAAAGGGCAAAGAATATTTGAGAAGAATTACGCAAGTTAGGAAAGTCTGCTGAAATGTAGATTCCAAGATGATCAGTTGATAGCTGTGGAGTTGTCAATATCAGATGAAAAGACATTTGTCACACCGATGAGCACTCAAATATATTTTTTTTCCGATGCTAAGTGGATGATCCTCCCTCTGGTGCACGGGGTTAAGGATCGAGCATGAGATCGACAGATGGGATAATTACGGATCGATTTACTGGCCGATCTACATTCTCACCTTTCGAGTAACAGAAAGGACGAGATTGCTGATAGAAGCAGTTAAAATGTGTTTGGGTTCTCCCTTCGAGATAAGACAAAGAGTTCCGAGCAGGCATTCTGAGTGACATTGGCACTAATGAGTCATTTAAATTGAGGAAGCGGGCGTGGAATGCGATCGGCTGTAAAAGGCGCAGTTACTGTCCTTAAGTACATGTCTCAGGTCTCTGTTCTTGACTAAAAATTTCAATTTCTGATCACTTTGACCAGAGGCAGCAGTCCAAGCGCATTCATACTCCAGTGTGCCCCATAAAAATCTTGATAAACCTTTCCTCCTTGTCAGTTTAATAAACTGTTGTTTATTAAATATGGTCTCACTGGCCTTAATGGGAGACGCAGCATCGCTGGGGGGAATGCAGATTCATCTTTTCCGAAAAAAAATCCCTCACCAACATTGGCCGAATATCACCAAAATAACATGTTTAACCCTTTCAGGGACAGCGGTCACTACAGTGGACAGCTTGTCATGTTATCACGTTACACGGTGCATGAAAGGGTTACATGGACAAGAAAAATAAAACCCTTGGAAAGATCATCCTAATCCCAGATTTCTCCTAGAGTGACACGACTGCATAGTTTTGCCAAAGAAAAGCGATATCTCAAGGATTACAGTTGCCACGATGAAGTTAATGCCATTCGGAACCACACAATGTCATGCCCCGCCTCCCGTTTTGATACAATAACCTGTGACGTGGGCATCGATGTCTGTCGGCTTTGTGGCCGTGAGATAAGGAGGCGATCAATTTGTCGCGCGGTACAGACCCCCGGTCGCTCTGTTGTCGCTCAAATGGAATTACATTGAAAAAAAGGAAATAGGGAAACGATAACGGAACAGAGTTGACGAGAAATGGAGGAGAAGATCCGGGAAATAGATGACGGGGACTGATTGAGGTCTTCGAGCAAAGATTAGGCGATCATATCGGGAAACATGTGGTGTGCCTGGTTTGAAGAACATCGTGTCTAACGGGTGTGTGTGGTGACCCATGCATGTAACCTTTTACTATGTCATACATTAGGGCTTTTCAAAGCGTGGACAGCGAGCCTCTTTTTACAGAACATCAGCATGTTATTCAAATATAACATCATTTAAATAATTACATGAAACTACAATTACTCATTTCAGAGAATTGTTGAACATATCAAAATGAGTCTGAGACTGACACGTAAAGTGCCGCTCTTTGTATTACTACCCAGCCTCATACGGTATGACATTTTAAAACCTGCCCTCATTAAGAAAGTGATTTTTTGGATCATATTTTTGACCTTGAACAAAACTGAAACGACCATAGTTAGAAGTTTTTCCGCATTTTCAAAAGCTACTGCAAATTACTTGAAGTCATCTGGTGCCCCTCTCACTCATCATGCGATTGATGTTTTAAAATCACTATACAGTAGTACCCTGCAATATAAGTTGTTCCGTGACCATAGCGAGCAATAACATTGCTCATAACTAGAAACACTCATATCCAACGGGGGGAGTATAAAACAGTCATGCAGAAATGATCGAGTTTCACAATTACTGTTCGTGACTCCGTAAGCTGCTGCAATATAGACATTTTTTGCAAAGGACAACAAATATATGCCTATAAGTCTTGAACTATTATCTGTCTACCTGTGTTGCTGCACCATTAAAAAAATTAATCTGCTCGAAGCATAATAATACTGCCACATATTGTTCATTTTGCCCCCTTTGGCCTTTCCCACTATGTGTTAGCATTAAGATGGGTTTTAAGACAAAGTTATGTGGTTGTTTTATATAAATAATGGGTAGTGGTTTTAGTTTTATGTTTAGTTTGATATTAGCCTTGAACTACGAGGGTTAGTAAAAAGCTTGAAGACTCTTTCTTGAAGAGGGTGGGGGGTGAGGGATGCAGGGGGTGCACAAATATCCAAATGACTATTTTAATTCACGCACTGGATGAATGGCCCCACTTATTTTGTCTTTGTGTTTTTGCTGTGATTTGTTTTCCATACAGGATGAATCACATCTTACAAAATCTGCCAGGGTAATTCACAACTGTGTAATAAAACTAAAAGAGAGTAAAAATACCTACCTTTTGAGGATTGACGAGACACCAATGGAAAGGGTATGGAAAGGTGTTTCCAGAGCCATACTGTCACCTAGTGGCACTTTATTGGTATGGTTGGAATGAGTATGTCTGTCCATAGGTAAGCATAAATTGAGAACACATTAAATTGAGAACACATTTCAGTTTTGTCAGGGTGTGCTTCTTGTTTCAGAAATCGAATGTTCAAGATCTACACCTGCTGCCAATAATAAATAATTGAAGTTGTTTTCTGTTTTTAATAAATGTGTTTTTTATGTCTTGAATTTGTAAAAAAAAAAAAAATCATATTTTTATTTTTCAGTCATGAAGGGTTCAGTGAATGTGCATATGAAAGAGTAAAAAATATAAATAAAAATAAAAAAGTCAAGCTATTGCAACAATAGAATTTATTGAATCCGATACAGGTAAAGGGTAGATACCACAGTTCATGAACCGATTATGGTTGTGTCTGGATAAACAAATGCAAACATCTTTTATCAGCAAACAAAAGAAGTGCAACTATAATCTCTTCTGTTTAATGACAATCTATGAACAATGGATACAAGAAATATATCAATGCATTTGCAGCTTTTAACACAAAGTGAATCCATAGTTTCAAAGTGCTTCTGCAACACTACCCATGAACAAGAATGCAAAGTGGGGGGGCGGGGAGGGGGGAGTACAGCGGCAGGATGGGTCAAAGCTACCCTACATCTGACGTGCGTGGAAGAGGGTGATGGCTTGCGTGTGCGTGGCCGGGCTTCGAGTGTGCGTCCGAATGGGCCGGCGGGTGAGAGTGAGTCTCGCTCATGGTGTCAAGTAACGATGGGGGGTCTAGGCTGTTGTCTGCCGGATACAGCTGCATCATGGCGCCTTCCTGGGCGCCTTCCTTGCCGCAGGACTGGCAGCTGCAGTGGAAGATCCTCTCCACTAGCTTGTCCACGCGAGGAGTGTCTTCATTCCCTGGGCACTCAAGAGTCACCTGTGCAGACGTAAACGTGTTCCTTGTTTAACTTTCAATTATGGAACTATAAACTGCTCTTAAAACGTGTGGGTGAATTCACTGCTGCCATGTGTGTGTGTGTGTGTGTGTGTGTGTGTGTGTGTGTGTGTGTGTGTGTGTGTGTGTTTTATACCCCCCCAAAAACTTATTGAGATGGGAATGAAAATAAACAACTGAAATGATGTGGTTGCACAAGTTTGCACACCCTCTAAGAACTGTGTGTGTGTGTGTGTGTGTGTGTGTGTTTTATACCCCCCCAAAAACTTATTGAGATGGGAATGAAAATAAACAACTGAAATGATGTGGTTGCACAAGTTTGCACACCCTCTAAGAACTCTAATAATAAAAATAATAATAATTTTTTTAAGAACTGGGATGTGGCTGGGTTCAGAATTAACCGATCACATTCAAACTCATGTTAAATGAGAGTCAGCACACATTTGAAGTGCCTCTCAAGAACCCCAAATGCATTTCAGATGTTCTAATAGACTTTTCCTGAGATTTCCTCCGCTGCTTTCTCACAGGAACTGTTCATAATTCCCTCCACCATGAGTAGGGCCCTAGTTCCATCTAAAGAAAGCAAATTTTTTGTTTTGTTTTGTTTTTTTTATTCAATTGAGCTATAGATGTTACAGGTCGCAACAATGCGGGGAAAGTTTTTAAAGGGAAAAGTCAACCACATGCTCACAAAATACTAATACTTTCACATTCTCCAAAAATGTCCACCCTGTCCAAAAGCTGACATACGCTGTTTGCATGTCGATTGTGTGCTTGCAGTTAACTTATTAAAAACAAACCAGTGAGAACCTATATACATTTCATCGACAAAACATTGTAATACGTAATACAAGGAATATAATATATGGTGACAAAAGGAGGAAGTTAAAGTCTTACGGTGATATTGACTTGATATTTTCACTTCTTTTTCGATACCTCAACTACAAATGGCCTGGTCTATCTGCCCACTTTAAAAATGTGATTTGGCAGGCCACACGTCAGGCATGTCGATTGTTTTTACTCCGTGTTCTGTTTGACATTCAAAGCATATTTTTGGAGACCATTTTAATGGAAGCCCACAATTGACCACTTTTTGGTACATTCCAATTCGGAGGATCCCACTTTATGAATTCCCAGTGAATCTCGGCGTTACACAAGCCCAACTGGCGCACCAGACCTCACACAACGTCCCCCTCACTGTTTGCATTGTGCATTAAAAATGATCACTCAGCACTTTCATCAAAATCTAGTACGAGGGCCAAGGAAACTGTGAGTGGTATCCGCTTTCAAGGGATCTGCTTTTGTTATTTCCAGCTCGAGTTAAAGTCATGCAACAATAATCATAACCACAAAGGCAAACATCCATTTGACGATAATTAAAAGTGAGTTGAGTTGGAGTCTCTCTCTCTCTCTCTCTCTCTCTCTCTCTCTCTCTCTCTCTCTCTCACACACACACACACACACACACACACACACACATTCAGTACACCCAATTTGAGGAGCAAAGCGACTATTCTGTCAGGTAACGGCTGTTCTTGGTAAGAGATGAAATATTTTCCTCTGCAACGACAGGTGACCTCACCTGAGATCCCACCCGTCTAGTCTACAAAGCAGCCTTCCAAAGTGCTTACTCCAAAGTCTTTGTTGTCGCAAGAGCGGATTCCTGTCTTGGTGGTACAATGAACTGTCGACAAGTGTAGAACGCGGATTAACATTGTCAATAAGCATGGGAATGAATGCGCCATGTTTGTTTGGGTTTTGGTGAGTACTGAACACACTCGCCTGGAAGCTGTGTGTTCGGGTGAGAGGGCCCAAAGTCAGCTTGCTACATGAGCGAACAAACAGGCAATAATTCTTACCACTTCCCACTGAGTCTGGGCAGGCATGCAGGAGTCACAGTGCACCAGAGACTCCGTTGACTGTGGGAACGTGTTGGGAACGCTGTAGCTGAAACACTGGCCCAGGCAAGCTCTGCAAGGAAGACATAGGCCATTATCGCCCGTCTCGTGGGACAGGAAAAAAAAAAAAAAAACCTCAGTAAAATCACATCATATCACTCAACCTGATGATGCGCCGCAAAAAGTAGATTAATTCTAACGCCAGTGGAATTGTTCTGCCAGTTTGGAGCTGAATAAATGAGAGATGAATAAAATCACATTGTTTTGTGTGAATTTTTTTTTTTAAATTGACCAATTAAGGGAAATTCATTAATGTATTCACCTTTTAGCACATTAGGTGGGAATCCCCACTTTTTGTTGTAGTTTTGCAAATTGTAGACAAAGGTATACAGATCGAATCGCTGATGTGGTGGTACACACGCACGACTTGTGCGCGGGCAGCGTGGGATCGGTTTCCACTCAGTGACGGTGTGTATGTGGGTGTGAATGGTCGTTTGTCTCTATACGTGCCCTGCGACTGACTGGCGACCAATTCAAGGTTTGGTCTGACCTTCCGCGTGAAGTCAGCTGGAATAGGCTCCAGCAACTACCCGCAACCCTGTTCAGAATAAGTGGTATTGAAAATGGATGGATGGATAAACAGATAGAATGAGGCCTATCTTCTGGGAGCTTCTGCGTATCTTTTGTTAGGACTGTCTACTGCATGTAGAAGCCAGAGTTGCATCGCACTCCATGATCCACCTTGTGCGAGTATTTTATTTTTTTTACATTTCCCACTGAAATACAGTAAAGGCAAAATGGCAGAGACTCTTTTCTGAAGTATTACAGCAGTGCCGACATTGTACAATCTGTCCCTTTTGAAATTCATTCCCAGTCAAATGTTTCAAAATACTACATGCAAAGACACTCTACAGATAGAATTTCAATTCAGTTGCAACATTTTTATAATGACACACAAATGGTGTTTTGTCAGACACTTCAGAGAACATTAACATTTTCCTGGTATGTAGTCTATACCTAAAAAGGAGTTGGTGCCCCACCACTTTTATACAATGTCACAGCATGTGGTAAATGGCTAACATATTACAAATGACTCTTCAATAGGATTTTCCTGGCTTCTACTGGAAGCTGTTTCATACGGGGAATCAGAGAAACAATAAAAGACAGTGTGCTTGCAATATACAACAACATGCAAAACCATTAAACGAGAAAAATGAACATGAGGGGTTTTTTTTTTGTTCTTGCTCTTGTTGTTTGTTTTCCTTAAGATACTTTTGGAAAATTATTGACCTCGGCTTGTAGTTTTAAACAGTTTATCAGATAGAAGCAAGGAAGGACACAGAGGAGGGAGGGGTCTCATTCTGACCTGTTTTGAATTGAGCGAGGCTGACATCCAGTGTGCCCGACTATCTGCGTGATGTTCTTGGCTTCGCACCAGGCGCTCTTGTCAGGGAACAGCGCCAGGCGGTTGATGTGTGCGGGCGGTGCCGCGGCATACAATGCAAACAGGGCGCAGCAAATGGGAATGGTCTGCCACATGACTGCACCTAAAGGGGCACAATGCGGCAGTGTGTCACCAACAAGCACCAACCTCTTGTGCTCTGATGTTATTCTCCACAAAAACAAACCTGCCGGTAACTTTCCGAAGCTGCCTGGCCTTGTTTGTGATGTACAACAACTGACACAGGCATGCTCTGCAATGATGTAAATCACCAGCTGCAGTGAGAACATTAGGGTGGACTCGACTCCCATTGTCCCTAAAAAAGTCCAATAGTTGGAAGAAGGAAAGCCTCACCTCCCTTAAAAATGCCTCAGCCTGTCAAGTCTTTTATAAGCTACAGTTTTAACACGTTTCTCCTGCTGCACTCTCTTTGGTCCTCCCCAATGAGTCAGACACAAGCAAACCCAATACAAATATGCGTAAAATACAAATACATTGTTGACTTGAAGGGGTTTTCAAACCAACATACTAAAAATATATCATGTTTTACACTGTGACAGTGACATGCTGTATATTGTGTGTGTAAACTAATGAGGAAAAAACACAACAGACATGACTTTAGCTCAAACACAAATAGAAAAGATATTTGCCAAGATGTGTGCCTGCTTAATGAACAGTGAAACCTATTTAAAGCATTCTTCTCTGACAATAATCAACCCCCGCCACCCCCCCAACCTAAAAAAAAAAACACAAAACATTTTGGGGCCCCAGCCCGAAGTTTGACAAACTATATTTGACAGTGATATCGATAGTGGTATATCTGAAGCTGAACACAATATGCTCACCAACAATAGTTGACTTCTGATTTCAGAACAAATTTCCCAAAAGAAATAATATCAAGTAAAGGGAGTTTCAGCCTCAAACTGTCACATTAAAAAAACACTGACATTGGTTCTCAAACCTTTTCCACAATGCATATTGATGTACAATAGCATAATGGAGACAAGTATTCAAAAATGAGGCAGAGGTTTTATTCTTTAAAAGTATATTTCATTTATTTTTGTAACCTGCTGTAACATTATGCACAACTATGAATATAAATTCGGAATACATCATAGGCCACGTAGCATAATTGCCTAAATAATTTTTGAATATTTTTGGAAGACACTTTTTTTTAGAACACACATTGGCATTTTTAATTGAGATTGTAACATTAACTTCAACCTGATGGGTGAACAAGTGACAGGAAGAAGAAGCAATTAAAAAATACCAATGTGTGTTCTAAAAACTGAGGCGTTTTTTTTTTGTTTGTTTCAATAAGAAGTTGACTGAGGAAACCCTCGGTTGAGAAATAGAAAATGAACATTAAGTATACTTTTAGTTAGAAAGCTTCTTGGGTCATTTTTATGCGAGTTATTAGCCGTTATGCATTCAGCTACATGCCAGTTGTATTAGCATCCGATTGGTGAAATTAATTTGTACATGTAATTGATCATTTTATTGCACGGCCAGATTATTTTCTTAAAATGTGTTTCTGGTTCTTTGGTTAGCATCACACATGTATTGCTAATAGTGGCTTTTGAAGTGAAAAAAGGCAAATTTAAAGAAAATAAAAAATTAAATTAAAAAAAAACGAACCAAGCTTTTAAATGCCGAATGACCTGAAGTCTCACGAGATTTATTGACACCTCACGTGGGATTTCAACTCCAAGTTTTGTATGACTTTCGGTTCGTTCGACTTTTGAGGTTCTACCGTAGTTTCACGGCACAGTTTCTCCAAATATAGTCATAGCATAAAATCTAATTTTGAGATTAAATTTTGTTTCGAGGATTTTTTAAAGTACATTTATAAATTACGCCATACTGTTTTTGCTGCCGTCGAACGAATGTATGTCACCGAACAAGGAATGAAATAAAAGAATAGTTAATAAACATCAGCTCCCGGTGATGACATTACATTGCTACAATGAAAAAATAACGGAACACAGAGCTCACCGTTGCTGCACGTCAACGCCGACTCCCAGGAATAAAAACCAAAACAAAACAACAACAACAATATGTTTTGGTTGTTGTTTAAAGCAAATGAGGAGCGTGTCTTGCTCTATGGTGGTACATCCGAGTCTGCTTTGTCATTTCAGCGGTCACATCATCCAGCAACAGCGAGAGCGCCAGCTGCGTGTCCGGGGTCCGAGGAAGGAAGGAGGCTGAGAAGATGGGCCGTGCGCTACTATCTCATGTCAGGCTCCATCAGCCCGGAGCGTCCCTCCCCTTCCTCCCCTTCTTTCTCTCTTTCCTCCTCCTTCAGCCGGAGTCAAGTCCCACGTTAAAGGGCGCTGAAAAGCTCTTTCCAAGCTGTGGTTGTTAAAAAAAAAAAAAGAAAGAAAAAAAAAGGCTCGCAGGCAGGCAGACGGAGGTCCTGCTGTGAGGGGGCTTGAATGTCCAGTTTGAAAAAGGTTCTCTGAAAGTTAAAGGCGAGGCGAGGAAGATCAAGTGGCGATCCGGCCAGATAACACGGATTAGTCACGCTTAGCAACATGTGATGTACACGGAACGTGTTTTATACACACCACCACTTGCATTTTCAATCATAGCCAAAATAATTAAAACACATGCAAACTAGATGGGCTCACCGGACGATTTATTGGGTACACTTCCACAATCTAGTCGCATTCAAAACGATTGAATTAAATTGTCACACAAAATTACTATCTGAGCTATGTAAATTAATTTATCCATAATAAATGTAAAAATGAGTCAGGAAGCAAGGGCGTGCAGAGGAAGTGGGGGGGGGGGGGGGGCGCATCCACATCAACAAAAATATTCCATGTGACAGAAGGGACAACCAGCCTGACAGATGGTGGGTACATATCCACAGTACGTTTCAAAAGCTTTCGTCCTTTGACAAAAAATGGTAAACACTGAGAGTTAAAGGGCTACAAGTTGATTGGAGCCCCTAGTCTAAAAAACATAAATTGCATTTTTTTTTTCTTGTGGGGGCAGCACTTCATCACGGTGAATGCAGCCTACACCGTCACCGAGTCTAGTATGTGCTGCCTATTAGAAGCGAATATTGTTAGCTGTTGCTAGTAACACTGGGGAACACAATTTTTGTTGAGTTGGCTCAGACAACTTTGGCTGCAGTAATCCAAAATTCATAGTTTTCTTAAACGGAATAAATGTTACAAGCTTTGAAAACTAACAAATCAGGATAAAATGAAATAGAATTTAGAGCGGTATGCTCCTGGTCACAAGATTAAGAGAAAAGTCAGTTTTCTGTTGGTAGATATTGATAGTACTGACCTAATGGGAGCTGCACACACCTCTCATCACACTGTCTCAATTGTGACTGCACAAACAAGTTACTATGCTGTAGATGAATCCAATCATAATAAAATGGTAAGTCTTACCACAGCTAATCGGTGGAATTTTAAGTGGTAAGGTGTGGAGAAAAAAAAACAAAAAACAACTTTATGTGCTTATAAAAAAATAACTGGCTGCAGTTTTGTGAATCAGCATGCCAATTTGTGTTTTAATCATCATAAACATCTAATTCAACAGATTAAAAAAAAAAAAGTTCCTCAGTGCAATCTGTGGATCGATGGAGACCGACTAAACAAACATCTAGCAATGTGCAAAGAAAAGAAAGTGAAGACTCACATACTTGAGATAAAAAGCTAGCCTGGCTTTACACATTGGGCTCACCTGTCACCGCAAGTTCCCGCACTGCACAGGTGTATAGCCTGGCCGGAGTCCATGAGCAGCCTTATCCGTTTAATTAGCAAAGACATATTTCAATGAACAGGGGATGAGCGATAGGCTCAATATCTGACAAGCTTTCGGCATAACACCGCAGTTGAAGTCAATGACCTTTGAAAGCGCCATTCCTTTATGTGCTGGAATGCGGGGGCTTCAAATGTGAAAAGCATGATGAAGAAGGGGAAACGAACATTTCGTCAAGCACCCGTTTTCTTCTATGAGAAAGTGTTGGACTCACCTGTTAGCAATAAGACCCGCGCTCCAGTCCAGAAAAGGCCTTCTTCGACATTCCGCAGATTCTGCTGCAGCAGGGGGCTAAACGTCAACTGACGTCCACACTAACATTTGCTCTTCATCTTCTTCCTCTTCAATCGGACAAGCGTGCAAACGCAGGAGTGGTCTGAGCACATGCACTCAATCTTGATGAGAAGCGGACAGACTGCCAGTGATTACACAAGCCACATCGACCTCATGATGCTTTGGCAAGTGGCATACAGACAATACCCTTTCTTCACAGAAACTTCAAGCATATGTGAAGAATTGGGACGCGGCTCAAGATGTAATTAATCAATTACGATTTCACTTAAGGCTCCGAAATTGCCCGAGAATCTTCCTCTTTACCTTTATCTTATGGAGGCAGTTTGGACAATGCTGTCGTTCCTGCCTTTGTAGGAACACCCCTGAACGACCAATGGTAGCAAAAAGGAGAAACTGAACTGGAAATGGAAAGGATCTGGCTGCTCAGTACATTAAAAAGAATAGAGATTTTTGGTTGCTGTTGTTTACTGCACTTTCTATCCAATGAATACTTGCAACAGCTTCGGCTTGGAAGAAATGAATTCACTTTCCTTCGTGTATTTCCGAAAGGAAAATAGTGTTGAAATGACTTAACCATCAACTTGGGAGATTACACTGTAGTTTTATCTAAGTTGTGAACAGCGCAGGGGAAACATTGTATATATATATTAAAAAAAAAAAGTGACATTAATTTGGATTGTATGTCCTTTTATCCATAACCGTAAATATACTGCACCTCACCCCTCCTTGCGTTCCCCCTAGTGAGCAATTTTTTTTTCTCCTTATTATTTCATGATATTCCTCCTTAACTCTTTCTCCGCCCACTCTCCAACCGGGCTGCAGATGCTGAACCTGGCCTTCATTCCAAAACAGCAGGAGGTCAAGTCTCAGAGCTCATTAACACACCATATTACCTCCCACACCCAAACTGCATTTCATTGGTGTAAACACACACACACACACACACACACACGCACACACACACACACACACACACACACACACACACACACGCACACACGCGCACGCACACAAAGAGATGCAATAGAATCCTCTTTAGTCACTTTATTAAATATACATCGAGTGGCCCAAGCAGGGCAACAGTGGACATAAGTGGTGGAGTCACATTAGGAGAGCAACACGAAACAGATGCTTATGTGGTGAATCCGCCCGCATCCTCCTTAATCCTTCACTGCTGGTCCTGAGAGGAAACAGAAATCGTGTAGCCTGAGGTGTGCATGTGAGAAGAGCCCTCAACACGAACACCTCCTCACACCGTACGCTCACCTTTACCACGCGGCCATGAATCAAGTACGACGACCTGAAGTCATTCTGGCAGTTGGAGTAGCCCATGCCCAAACCCAAACCTGCACCAAACGAGACAGGCAATGTGCGTCCTGCGGGGGGAGAACAAAACCAGTCATTCATCACCCAAATGAGGAGAGCCTGGTTCTCTTTACGCTGATGACTTACGTTTAAAGAGAAGGACAGAGAAGACGATCCCAACGCCCAGGCCAGTTACTCCGAAAAGAGAAGAAAAATAGACGGCATAAACAACTCAACTGCAAGGGCTCAATTCAAGCACCGAGGTGCCGTGATTATGTTCGATCTAGTCACAAAGTGTCTGGCGCAGTGGATAAAAAAGAGACGTCCTAAAAAGGTTGACCGGATTGGGAATTATACACCTTTCTGAACAGACCGGGAACATTTTTTTCCTTTTTTTAAGAAGCACAATGTTGTTCAACCAACATCAAAAAGCTTTTTTTTCCAATTTATTTTTTGATTGTCATGAAACACCTCCAATTTTTTTTTTTTTTTTTTTTTTTTGGTGCACCAGCGCAAAAGTGAGGTGCACGCAAAATTTCTACTGCATCGCATGCAACACATCAGTTTTACAGGTTGACATGTTTTGGGTTTTTTTTAACACAAAATGACTGCCTGTCTTTTTAAGTAAAGTGACAATTGATTAACTGACAATTTGGTCATCGTAAAGTTCTTTATTTGAACCACAATTCCAGGTAACGTATTAAAAAGTATTGGTGCTTGAAGTGCTCTGTGTCAGCTTGCGTGGCAGCTTGATGGAACACTCTAAACTGTACTGAGGTATGATTGTTAGCACGGATGGATGTTTGTCTTACATGTGTCCTGCGATTGGCTGGCAACCGGTTCAGGGTGTCCCCCCACCTACTGCACGAAGACAGCTGGGATGGGCTCCAGCACCACCCCCGCGACCTTCGTGAGGATAGAGCGGATCGGAAAATGGATGGATGAAATTTTAAAAATGTAAGCATAACCGACTTAAGTCTCTGTTCACATAAATTACACTTCAGCAAATATTAAACATTTTGGTACACAGGTATAGAGAGTCACTAATACCTTCCTCTCCCAATGGTCGCACCGGTGCAACGTCTGTTTTTTTTGGGGGGGGTGGAGGGGCGTACCATTGATAAATGAGGTTGCTCGGGCACCCAAGTTGGTCTGTGTCTAGAACCCTGTCTCTAATGAAAACACAAACGGCAAGATGTGAGGAACAGGAAGGCAACATTGTAAGCACAAAACACTGAAAAAGGTGCCAAAGGAGTATGCGGGAGTTGAGGCAGAGGCCAGGTCAAAAGGCTGAACATGAAAGTGAAGGAATAGAGCGCTGAGGTGTAGCCATGAAAACCAGTGGCAGCCCATCTAGCACAGAAAACATACAAAAAAAAAAAAAAGAGCCATTTTGGCCCATCTCGAATCTTAATTGGATTCAGAGAGCTATGCGGCATGAGCAATGTTCTTCAACCAGAACCCTTAGACTGTTTTCGATTACACAGTTTTACAAAAGTCAAACAATAAAAGATCATCTTCATTATCAGTCCAGATCAACGTGACCATATGCATCCTTTTCATACAAATATTTTGCTCAACTTAAGGCTCCATGTTTGCTTCGACCTTGCGCTCGCTTTGCTCTTGTGCCAAGCGCTGATTTTCATATAAATGCTCGTTGGAAAATATGAGAGCAAATCAACATGTCCCTTTGAATCAGCTTGTCTTCGTCTGGCTATAATGAAAAGATTTGTGCCGCAACAAAAAAATATACAAGCCGCTGGCCTGAAAATCCTCACCAGGTTCACAGTACCCTATTGTTAGATATTTGTTTACCCTCTCAAAATTCCATCAATAAGATGTTCATTTTCCACCACGGGAATTCGGTTTAACTAACATCGAAGGCAATCACTCTCGGAGAAGGAACAAAAACTGACGTTAGGAATTCCGTTTTTTTTTTGGTAACGTGGCAACTTGTCGCTAAATTAACGCTAGCCACATCCGACAATATTTTTGAAAGTTACCTAAGATGCGCCATCTTAACCAACGCCATTAGCAGCGCACATGCTACAGCGTTGCTCAGACCGCGAGAGGCACTTTCGCGCAGCTGGCAGTTTGCAAGAGTGAGCTCAAAGAATGCAGATGTTTTTCTCCCGGCAAGAAGCAAATTTTATTGTGCCGATGGTGGCGTCACGCAGAGTCAAGTGGATTGTTTGCCAGTCTAAGTATTTCACCATTTTTCATTTGTCCCAGGGCACACTGCACTTGTTCTACTGTCTCGGCCGAGCCGGACGTGAAACTAGTTTGGCGTCATTTATGAGTACGAAACTAATGGGACGTCCAAGAGATTTGACCTCGAGTCGTTCCAGAGTTGAGAAGGAGTTTATAAAAGCCCTCTCATCCAGAAAGTATGAATGATTCATTCTTTGAATATACGCAGCATTCAAGATGAAGGAGTAAATTCCCTTTGAAAAATAAGCTTGTAATTCATTCCTCATTGAACACAATTTTTTAGAATATGTGGTATAATACGTCATTGAAAACATTGATTCTCAAAAGATACTCATGATTTTCACTAAATTTGTTGGCACGCGAGGAGCGCTGTGTGCCATGTTCATATGTGGGTAAATTCTAAAGATTCATAGAAAATAAGATATAGTGACGGCTCCTCTAAAATTGTTTCTGTCAAGTTCTATTATTATTATTATTAATCAAAAGGCCAAGGAAACGACATTTCAGTCGAACAAAATAAACAGAAAACTGTTCCTGCGGTCAAAGCAGAACTTTCCTCACTTACACACTGTACAGGGCCTTGATTTTGTCATTAAGATTTGTTGTATCATTATCACAATGTGAACAATAATGTAAAATATTTCCTGGCCCCTCCACAGAAATGCATGAGTTCAAGCTGTACCACTTCACAACTTTTCTTCGAAATCGGTCCTGCTAATGTCAAACAAAAGAGCGATCAGCATGACCCTGACCTGCAGAGCGGAGGCAATCACAGACAGCAGTACACTCTTCAAGCCAGTGCTCTAAGTGCACTTTAAAGGCAACAACAAGCCAGATGCTATTGTCTCTAGTGGACAGGAAGTATGCATGTGATTCATATTAGATTAGGGCTGCACTGTATGGGGTTTGCTGTGGCCTTGAACAAATGAATGAGGTATACTGTAGTTAGATTTTAATTGCATCCAGTGTCAACTGAGGTTAGTTGCACAGTGCTTCTCCGTGAGGACACTTGGAGCAAGTACCATCTGGAGGAAGACTCCCATTTGAGTGCTGGACCTGATGCAAATAGCGCACATGTACTTCATTTACGGTGCAAGGTTGTTAAAAAATGTGCATTTCAAATTAAACTGACATCAGACATATGGGAGACTTTGCCAATCAGTTTTTCTCTCCCTAAAAAAAGAAACGCCGGCATTATTTAAAATGTCAATTTCATGGCAAATCAGACATGGCTTGATCAGAGAGGATCACTTATTAGTATTGTATGAAGTGGGATGAAGTCTGTCCTTGCTACTTTTCGATATTTCATCTGAATTGGGTTGCCTTACAAGCCAACACATGAACCTCACTCGTATACTGATTAATAATGTGCGTATTCTTGAATTTCGACCTGCCGTAAGAATTTCGGCGAATGCATTTCTGTCAAATTGACCTCAGTTAAATGTCAATCACGGACGCAGTGGTCAACTCAATGTCCTACTAAAGGGCGTCATTTCATGATTTCTGCATTCGCTAAACCACTAATTATTTCCATGCTAACTAAAATGCAAAATATTTTTACAATAAAGTCACGTTTACGAAATGTTAAAACAGATAATTACCAGTTTTCACTGCGGTGTCTGCCAAGCAGCGGTCCCACTTCGGTCCAAGTTCTTGCGCCATGTATCCTGCTCGCCAAGATTCCAAATCTCGAGATGGTTTGAAAAAAAGGTCACTTGGCCATCACCTCACTTTACAGGACTGCACTTTTTAGCCTACATTAACGCCACAGATTTATTCTTTGGATTGAATTTAGACCGAATTTCTTGTCGAATATGTATTTAAATAACTGTATTTATTATTATTTATTTTTTAATTGCAAGAACTCTGGTGTTTATACGTGTACACCAAATGTAATACTTTTTGTACAATGCACTGTTGTGTTTTTGTCTTCTCCATTCCTGTTACTCTCTTTCAATATATTTTATGAGGAGCTTTCAAGGACAATCTAAAGGTAAGCTTATCCTCTACTGGTTGTAGCCTCTTTTATTTTTTTAATTGCAAGAACTCTGGTGTGTATACGTGTACTGTACACCAAATGTAATACTTTTTTGTACAATGCACTGTTGTGTTTTTGTCTTATCCATTCCTGTTACTCCCTTTCAATATATTTTATCAGGAGCTTTCAAGGACAATGTAAAGGTAAGCTTATCCTCTACTGGTTGTATGTAGCCTCAACAAGGCTCAGTGTACAATCTGTTATATACATTCTAGACTTTCTGATGGCTTTTGCTGTGTATGTGAAAAGTATAGACTGCCTAAACCACAGGTGTCAAACTCAAGCCACAGGGCCAGATCCGGCCATGTCATTTTATGTGGCCTGCGATAGCAAATCATGTGCGTCAACTTGGTAAAATCTGTCCTGAAATATCAAATTGTCATGCTTGATAAATAATGTTGAGATTTTGCAATAATTTTCTTACCCTGTTTACACTCACTTGAACAATAATCAAACTATTGTAGTTGACCTGACTGATTCCATAACTAGGAATTCATTAATTTGTTGTGTACAAGTAACAATGCGATGAGACGTTTTTTGTGGTTTCAATGTAAGACCTAACTCCAAAGTGGCCCAAGACAAAAAAAAAAGAGTAATCAAAGACCTAATACAGTATCACACTGAGAGTAAAACAACTGCATAAAGCCTGTTTTGAAATCGACATTGGAAATGATGATAAAAGGGCCTCTCACACTGTATGACAGTGTATATTTATAAAACTAATGAGACATTTGGATTCTACCTCCAAAACTGCCATAGAAAATGTTCTTACGCTTTTTTATTTGATACTATTATTATTTTCATTCTTATTATTTAAGGCAGTAGTGTAGTGTATGGGTGTTAAACTTCGATGAGGGTGTCTGTTCAAAACAACAAAAGTCATAAATGAAATATTTCAAAAGTGTTTCCGACTTTGAGCTCCCGACTCTGAAAGGCTCGTGAAGAAGTCTCGTGAAAAAGTCTCGACTCTGCAGGAAGAATGTCAATGCAGTGTGAGAAAGTAACCGCACAGCCCAAGTGCACCACTCCTCTCTTGCCATACTTGGCAATGCCTTTCTTGCTTTGTCGCTATTGGTTGGAACGGAGAAGGCCCCGAGTGACCCGGACACGCAACCGAGGCCCGTTTACTGACTGCAGCCTCTCCTTCCTGTAAGACCGGTTGAGGAAGTGAATTTCGCTGACAGGGCTGGGTTCACTGAGGGAGAGGCGAACAAAACATCTTCCGCGGGGGCCAGAAAAAAAAAAAACAAGAAAGCGAGAAGAGCGTTTTGACAAACCACTCGAAGGCTATAAGGCGTACAGTCACCGGTGATATTGTGCCTCCCCCTGCACAGCTGAGAACGCCGCAGACATGGTAAGGGTCGCGCGGTTGGACCTGGAGCGAGCGAGCGTGAGGGGGAAGACTTTTGCTGGGGCTAGTGGCTAACTAACAGCTATTGGTGCTAGGTGAGGCTAAGCTAACGCTAGCAGGAGCTACCAGCTGCTAGCTGCTAGTAACCTGATAGGAACAGCTGGAGTTGGTCGAAGAGTTGACAATAAGTTACATACGCTTTATTTACCGCTGCGATTAATTTAGACGTACCGTGAAACAAAATACATTTTAATGTTTGGCCAAACGAACAGCAGCTTCCTCCAGCTAGTTTGTTAGCTAGCTGTTAGCTTAGCTGGGGTGCCCCGTAGGCGTAAAGTTAGCACAGGATGTTTTGGATTTGACACGAGTTAGTGAAATGGATTTGAGTGGAGTCCCGATATAACACACGCGCAGAACTCAGCTCACTACTCGTGTACCACCCACGTACACGCAGGTTAAAATAGCCCAACGTGGTGCCCGTTGCTATATTAAGACTGGCTGCTCCCAACATTCGCTATCATGACAAGCTGGCTGTCAGTCTCAAGTGGTCATTCTACAAGTTAGTCTGGTTAGTTTGTTCTCAGTTTTCTTATTTTGCTTACCTTGAAGAAAGCCAGCGTCTCAAAACAATGCTTTTGTTGTTGTTGACCTCGAATGCAGTGTGCCCATGTTTCAAACAAATGACAGTAAGAGCCATTGAATTTCTTATTTGGTTGGCAGTAGTTGATCTCTTAACTTTTCCTGCAGCTTCTTCTCCAAAGGACTTTGGCTTTGCAACCAAAAATGTCAACTAGTTTCTGGAGTGATTCTAGTCCACATCCTGACGAATGTTGAAGTGCCTTTGAGCAATACACCAAACCAACCACCCCTGCCCAATCTTTCACAACCCTTTCACTCTGGACATCATTCCTTGCATTCTTGTTCGTGTGCGATCTGGTTCTGTGTGCAATGTTTTTTTTTTACAGAATTTACAGAAGAGTGTTTGTGAATTTCCCCCTTATGAAATCAATAAGGGGGGAAATTAATGAAAGTCCTGAACTGTCATTCCCCAAAGTTTACACTTCTATGTGGTCTTAAATGTCTTCTTTCCGAAATGGTACAAGCAGCTGTCCCTTCTCCCCAGTCGCCCGCTCTCCCCGGCCTCACTTCATCCATCCTGCTGGCTCAGCTCCCCCTCTGACCCCAGAGTTGTTGCTCCGAGCTAGTGTTTACTCGAAGACGGGAGCACTGCTAAACACAACGTCAAAGGAGGCGCAGGTGTCTGATGGAGCAGCCTGACGCATCGGCTGAGTGCGATTTTTAAGACGAGGCGAAAAGAAACATTGCAGTAAATTTGACATGACCTTGAAACAAGTGTTTTGTTTAGGGTCGTCTTTGATGAAAATGTTTACAGGAAGCTGGACGAAAGTCAGTGAATTGCGTTTGAATGGTTATAAGAGTCCATCTGTTGCAATGGCACGCTTCTATATCTACTCTCTTTCTAGACGTTACATTTAATGTATTGGGTGCACTGAAGCTAGGGATTGCCAACCGACATTTACTTATCTACGATGAAGAACATTGATTTGTTCATTTTTTTCAAATATAAGGTTTAATGGGATGGCTGTCACATGCTCTGAACTCCAGTTCCAATGCAGGTGTTGAACAGAATAATGCTACGTGGTGGTCTGCATGGAAGTCGTGCGACTTCACACAGATGCTTCGTTAGACCCACCGCAAATCAAGCGTCATGACCTTGCGTAACCGAACCGTCGCAGATGGGGCGGGTTTCTGCAACTAGTTTTCGTTAGTGGCACCGTCTGCCTCAAGTCTTGCTGCAGTTTGAAATTTGAATCACAGGTTAACGGCATCGCAACATTACAGGCGTAACGGCCAATCAAAAATTACTATAAACATTTCCAGTTGTGAAGTGAGTTCCAGACAGCTGCTTTCAAGTCATACTTTGTAGTATATACAGTATATTGTGTTTTACAGTTAAAAAAAAAAAAAAGCGAAGCGTGGCGAGTCCCGGTCGGGAAAGTGCATGAGAGCCTTCACACCAAAAGTTACTTAAGGAATCTTAAGCAAAAGAACTCGTTAAGTCAAAATTGGAGGAAACACTTGTATGAAAACCACTTCAAGACCAAAAATATTAAGCATTCAAATGAAAGCGTAAGTACAGTGGTAACGACACATCCCTCCTTCTAATGTGTTCATTCTTATATCGCTGTGCAAACCAGTTAATTGTTGGCCGTTTGCAATCTTAAAACATGTATCACGACAGCAAATTTCAGTTCAGTAAGCATCAGGATCAACTCTGGGCCTGTGTTGGGTCTTTTTAGTTGCACTTATTCCAAAAGATGAACTTCAATCATGTATAATGTCTCGCACGACATCAGCATATCACGTGAGACATCCACTCACAGAAGCTCAGTTCATCACTCAAAAAAAAAAAAAGAGAGAGAAAAAGTGCTGTGTTAATCAGATTTTTTTTTTTTTTTTTTTTTTTTTTTTTTTTTTTGTGACCCCGGGGCTTAACGCATTCCCCAGCGTTTCGTGTCGTGGCTGGTCTGCCCTGTTTTCCACTGCATATTTAAGGAAGAGAATCCCCCCTGGGAGAGACTTTGCTGTGTACTCCTCTGTTCTCACTTCCAGTCTTAATAGACACTTTTCATTCTGACCTCAGATCTTGGGTTGTCGCTCTTGAATCATTTTAGAATTGATTATCCCCACAACTCTTCAAGCGGCTATTCAAGTCATCGCAGTCCCCTTTTGTTTACATTTCCAACTTTCGCACGCCTTAACATGATTTCTAGTCGGCTTGTACAAACCTGATGTAACTAAACACATCAGTCCAGGCGCCATTGTTTTTTTCCACTTCCACTACCCATATTTGTTAATGAATTACAGTCGTGTGGTCATCGATCCGCACGGCTGACTTCCCTGCAGGAAGTGTAAGCTCGATTCCCACTGTGACCGGAGGTGTAAAGGGGAGTGTGAATGGTCGTCAGTGTCTAGTGAGCGGAGGTGGTCCGATGCTGTCCAAGGGACTGTTAGATGGCTGTGAACATTATTCATTCATTTTGCCTGTGGCGCAAACAAAAGACAGTCTTCAAAATGACTACATTGGAATGATTACACTGAAATCTTCACTAAGATAAACATGAAAGACGAACTGTGTGCTGCCTCACCAATCGTCGTTTATAGCCAATCGTAACCGCTTTTATTCATGTCGCAAGTAAGCAAACGCATAAGAAAATACACATCTGCAACAAAGACCAACGTGACCTAATAAGGAGTGGACTCTACACCTTATTCCTTAAACTAGTCAAACTACTATTTGCATCTTC